GTCTATGCTGGGGTCAGGACTGGAAGGGTCGAAGGGCCAGGGGCCCACTGCGAGGAATGCCCATGAGCTGCAGGCCTGGGGTTCCGGCTGGCCTGGAGGTGGGCCAGGGCTAGTGAGCCGAAGGTCCTGGGGGGACCACACCCATAAGGGGAAGCAGTTCAGGAACCTATGCTGCCCGGTATGAAGGTGGAATAGACCACCTGAGGAGAGGAATCCATGCAGGGTTCAATTAGAAGGATTCTGGGGCCCAGTGTGGGGGCCGGTGATAATGATAACATTGAGATGCCATCTGTGAGGTTTGGGCTACAGTGTAGGGGAAGAATGGAGCCTCAGATAACGTCCCCTGGCATTGGGGCAGAAAATGGGCAGCCTCCCGCTTAATTTCATCATTTAACTAATTAACAAGAAGGCGTGATGGGCGAGAAGGCGGGCGGTTAGCCCAGAAACAGGTGGGCGGGCCACGGTTATATTGGCCCTGAGAAGGCCCCCTGTTACAGGGATTAAACCCACTTTACCCATTTGCCCCATGACAACGTTATAGGCTAGGCTGAGGTGGAGTTCCTCTCCATTCTTGCAGCATAGCTATGCTGCCCTTCAGAGAGAAATGTGTGAGGCTAGAAAGAAAGCATGATTATTGGTCGGATGATTCCCTACACTCTAACCAATCACTGAATAACATGAAACAATAATACAGCCATGACCCAGGATTTCTTCTGCCTAAGTTGCATGTCATCATTTCTGGGCTTATACAGTCACATTCTCTCCCTGGCTGTATAGATTTTTCATTTCTTACTGTAGTGATGAATCTTAAGCTGCAGGGATGGAGAATGCTCCAAGCTAGCCAATACCTAGTGACAAGCCAGAGAGATGGGTTTGAATCTCTTCAACCTGATGGGTGCATTGGATGTTGGTCTTGGGTATCTTTAGTTTATTATATAACTGCCTCTTAAAAGAAAGAATTGGCCAGTCTTCCCTGCCCAAAAGGACTTTCCCATCTAATTCAAGAAAGGAGTTTCAATTATGAATCTCAGTATTTCATTGGCACGTAACCCGGAGGTCAAGCGATGTGTCTGCATTCACGAAAGGGAGGGGTTTTTAGGCATGTTGCTTTCTGTGGTACATCTTGTTGGTTAGCTTAGAGTATGGACAAACATAATGTAGCTTTTAACTGCTCTCAAAAGGGAAAGGGGCCTTCTGCTCAGGTGTGCACATTAATTGGTATGGTACGTATGGTACAGCTGAATGATCCTGTAGCAGTACAGGCTATCCAAATAACAGTACCTTTAACCATAAGTAAAACAGAGTTAAAGTTTGCAGCAGTTTTGCTGCATTTGTATTACTGCTGATCCTTGAAGATATAATTGTTTCATTATAACAGGTGACATCAGTATCCTTGGATAGTGATGATACAGTTATTATCAGGGATCCAGGTTTTCTGTTTACTGCAGAAAAACAGCGATTTCTTCCTTTAAAGGGGACAAATGCTGGAAACTACAGGTTTCCCCTTGCAGGCTTGCTGAGTTCCATCCTGCAAATGGCTGCTTGGGGCTGGAGGGAGTGGGAGGAAGGCGATAACAGGCAGGGGGTGGCACGTGCAGATACACGCGTACACACGTGTGACAGCCAGGCAGCGTGTTGAAGAGCAGATCCTGCAGCTCCCTGCAGGTAAGTCTATGGGGTGGGGGGGAGGGCATAAGTGATGTGTCAGATGGTGATGGGGGGAGCATGTGCCCCCCCAGATTTCTTCACCCATGGAGGGCACAGGCTGCAGCCTGGCAAGACCAGCATGAGCAGCAGGCACATCTGCAGTAGGCCCAAGTGCCTTTAAAAGGCCCTGAGTATGTGCTGCAGTTTGCCTGACTCCAATTTGGGAAGATGACAGGTCAAAGTTAGGTCAAGTGTCGCAACATCTAAGTCCCTTTTTGGAAGCTGTACCTAAAATGACTTGATTAAAATTTCATACAAAGTTTGTAATACAACCGGCAGATTGAATTAATATGATACGACTTCATAGTTTGGTATTTTATCCAAAAGACCATCCACAACCCTCTACTCTACAATACCCCATAAATAAATAGTTCTTCCACATAAGCCTCATGGTCTTTATGTAGGTGAAGTGTAGGATGGGTTTGGGTAAAATTTGGCCCATAACCAAAATCTAGGATAAAGAAGGGTCAAAGTAGAATAAACCATTTCTAATAGAAGAAGGGACTCTAAATCATACTGTCCATTTTAATACTGAGGGGAAAACAATCTCTTTTAATGTTACAGTAAAATGTGTTTGCTTGGTCACATGACAGATAAATATTTAAACTTAATAAAATAGTTTCAACATTTTTCTTTTGATTCTAGCAATCAATTCGCTGTCAGCTCTCGTAGCTGCCTAAGGTAGGTAGATGTTAGGAAACAGGAAAATGTATGATAGAGAAAAATGAATAAATATGTGAGAGAGGAGATAAATCAGCAAATACTGTTATTTTACAGACTCTCTTTTTATCATTTGCATTGCAGGTAGAGTGCATCTTGATCAAATATTAGAGATTCACTGGGACCCTGTTAGCAAATTCTGAAAAGACAGCAGATAAAAAAACTGCCCAGTATATTTTGCAAAACTTTAAATTTGGGCCAGATGCATAAAAAAATGTAGAGAGGCAGACCTACTGGATGAACTACAACCCTATCTCAGATGAACTTGGGAAAAATTGTGGTTTTATGTGGAAATCATATGTAACGTCTCCTTACATTGTACCTTCCTATGCATAAGACTAGGAGAAACATAATTTACTTAATTAAATTTGCTTTGAGGGTCTGGGTTCATTTAAACCTAGAACTCGAAACTAAATTTAGTGCAAAAATAAAAGACTTCTGAGATTTTGATTCAGCAGGGGTAGGGCATGACCAAGTAACTTTTTTATTTAGTCATTTAATCAAGTTTTAGAAGGTTCTAAAAGGTAGGAAGGTAGGATTGTTATCCTAGCAAGGCACCTGTCTTGGATTTTAAAGAGCATCTCTCTGCAGTTTTGAATGTGTATATTAACTGCAATTATTAGATTTTGGAGAACAAAAGATAATAGCGAGCAATACCCTTTTTGACAGAATAATAGTCTGATATTATCTATTGCAGGTCTGTGGCAGAAGCCACGGAAGTGGATCTCAATATGAGAGTTGGATTACACACAGGCAGGGTGCTTTGTGGGGTCCTGGGTCTCCGCAAATGGCAATACGATGTCTGGTCTAATGATGTGACTCTAGCCAATGTAATGGAAGCTGGAGGATTGCCTGGGTAAGTCTCATAACAAGAGCTATAGTTCTCTATGATAGCGGAAATTATTTGTCTGTAGCTGAAGCATGTTGCAAGTCTAATTACTCTTGGAATTGTTAAATGCAGGGTGGTTTCAGGTAAGAACTATGATAGTCTATATTACCTGCAGTTAAAACCTCTGCTGAGTAATATTAGGATTGAATAACATGGGTATTTCTGTTAGTAATGTCTGGAAGAAATAAATGTGAACAACTTTCTATTAAAATGTAAGTGCTCATTGGATACACTTTCCACTAAAAACTGATAGATACAAAAGGTGGTGATGAGAGAATTTCAGTCAGGAACTCTAGCAAGAATTAAAGTCTTGTCTCCATTAAATGGAGTTGCCACAGTGGATTAGACGGGAAGATTTGTCTCTGTGCTTCCAAATCTATAAGGTGGTAATAGTTTAGTATTATCAATCAAAGCCAGATTTCAGTATAAGTCATGCCAGTGCCAGGCAAACAATTACACATGCCTTATGTATAAAAATATTAATATACTACAAATGTAAAGGTACCTGTGCAAGTTATGCATTGGGATGTACACATACAGAGTTAGTAATTTAACTGTGTGTGGGTATATTCAGGTCCTGGAATTTTAAGCACACATTGGTCAGTCCTCAATATTGGTTAGCCACATATGCATGGATACATATATTTATGCATATCAGATTTTTAGAATGAGATCCACTGTATTGAAGGGTAATTGGTTGGATTTTTCACCAAATTCAGTTCTGCTAACCAGAGAGAAGTTTGAACCTGCTAACTATTTTGTGGTCAAGATTTACACTTCTTTGAAAAATAGATGTTTTTGGTAGTTTTAGATTGGTTGGCTTTAGGCATCACAGTCATAGGAATTTGAAAAAAAGATATTCAAAAGAAAGAAATAATCATGGTCTTTTAAACATCTTCTAGGAAGACATAATGTATGTAAGGGTAACAGATACGGGTGACATTTGAAGAAAGTATAAGGGCAGTTGCAGTACAAGCAGAGTAATGGGCAAGAGAAAAGCAGGGTCAGAATTGAGAATACATTTTAGAGTCCCATTCTTCTTGACAACAAAAAATAAAACCACTGAAAAAGAAGAATCCTCAGAAATGACCCAAGAGTCGGATAGTATATGTCAAACAATGCAGCAGTATCTCCAGCAGGTGCTTTAATAAATTCTTATGGTATTAGAATAAATATAAGATACTGCACAGGCCTTCCCATTTCTAAAATCAACACAGCTGCAAGTTGTCAAATACTCTAGTAATTTTAACCTGTTTATAGTACATATTTACTTTTAGGAAATGTAGTTGCTAAAATAGCTCTTCTTTCTTATTGGCTAAGAAAATGTATCTTTTCTACAACAGTCATCTACTTTTTGTACATGCAACTCTCACCCATGTTTGCTTTCTGCACAGGGGTGGATTTCACCAAATTCGAATAGCTCTTAGCTCATGATGTATCATCACATTAAAAAATGTCCTGTCTTTCTCTCTAGGAAAGTTCACATAACAAAGACCACCTTAGAGTGCCTAAATGGTGACTACGAGGTAGAACCAGGGTATGGCCATGAAAGGAATAGTTTCTTGAAGAAGCATAATATTGAAACATTTTTTATTGTGCCATCCCATCGGAGGAAGGTAGGATTCACAAACTGTAGCTTGTTCCATGGTGTAATTTCATAACTTAACCGTATTGTGAATGGGTCTAAAACAGAGGCAGTAGCTATATTCTGTAACTATTAGCAGCTCTTCAAACCTACTGTTAAATAGGTCATTTTATTCTGAATGGGGAAAACATAATTTTGTCTGAACATTTCCTTGAGATCGTGGCCATCTGTGTTTTAAGTAGGAGCAGTCAAAAAAGGAGGAGGTGAATTCCAACCCTGCAATCATGGTATCTAAACAAGGATGTGTTATAGTTGCTTCTGCTTACTGTACTGTCACTTTCTCTTACACGGGCATTTCTGAACATTAAGACTTCCATCTTTGTAGTCTCTTTAACTCTTCTCCTACCTCCACATCTGGACATGTTTATATTCTCATTCTTGCTCTCCTAACCCTTTCTGCAATACCTTATCCTACTAGTGGCCCATTTACCAGAACTGAAGGAGTCCCAAGTGAACAGAAGCAGAAAAAATAGTATTTACAGTCATGCTTTGCCTGCAGCAGAAAAGTGAAATCAACTCAGCGGTGACTAAACTAACATATCCTGTAAAAAGTTGCCATGTGATTTCTGTAGCATAGACTTAGCTATCTAGGTCAGGGAAAAATACAGGAGTTAACCATCCTACTTTATAATGTATCTCTGAATGCACCAGAGATCAGGGTTTGTTAGTCATTCATGCAAGTATAGAATAAATCTTACAAGGGAAACTGAGCAGATATGGTAGTCTCTATCTAACGTGCACATGCTCCCATGCTGTTGCACTGAGATGCTAAAAAGAGACTCATCCTGGCTGCCCTTGCTCATTCCTCTACCTCGGCTGCAGTCCCACAATGACCTCCATGCCTCTATCTCTCTTGCCTCTTCCAGTCTCTCCCCAAATTGGTCCCCACTCATCTTTCCTACCCGTGTTGCTTTTCTCTGTCTCCTTTCTATGCCTGTTTTTCCTTTTTTTCCTTTTTTTTTCTGTACCCACTCC